CCAGGGCCTCAGGCATGCAAGGCAAGCACTCTACCACTGAGCCAACTTCCCAGCCCACTAACCAGCAATTATGCCCATTTCTTTGCCAGAGAAAAAGAATATTCCTGAACTAGTAGGTAGGCTTTTTACGTTAATTTCATTTGCTTAAGTTTGCTTTATTTAATACTTTCTTATCATTGATTTCTTTTGTTTGTTTGTTTTTTAACTTAAGAGTAGACAAAGTACATCAATACACCAGCCATTCAATAAATACACTGGAGGGTGTGGGTGAAATCTTTATCACTTGCCCTCTATTCCCTACTGACCCTCTATATGCTCAGGCCTTGTTCTGTTTTTCTATCTGCCACTCATTCTTTCTTGCTCTTTGTGGAACCCTTGGTTACTAGGGATTTCTTTATAAAAAAGTGTCAACCCTAGCTCAGTAGGACAGCCTGATGTAAGGGAAAGGGGGAAGATCAAGAAAGAGGAATCTGATTCTCTTCTTACTTCTGCCAGTTAGCACCAGCTCAAGTTGCTGAATCCCTCCAAGTCTCCATTTACATTTTAGTTAAAATAGTAACAACAATATTTACCATTGAAACCTTAGAGACCCTTGAACAAAAAGGTATTAAATGAGACAACCCCTAGAGGAAGTAATTTGAAAGTCACTCAGTAGGTCTGATTTTGTGTCAGTACCATGCTGTAGTTGTTACTGTGGATGTACAGTTTGAAGACAAGGACTGCGATATCTCTGGCCTTGCTCTACAACCCCTCTCCACGCCCCCCAGGATTGCTTTGGCTGTGTCAGGTCTTTTGTATGTCCATATGAATTTTAAGATTTTTTTCTATGTCCATGAAAGAATATCATTGGAATTTTTATGAGGATTCTCTTGAATCTGTACATAGTTTTTGGTCGTATGGCCATTTTAACCACATTTATTCTGCTGATCCATGAATATGGGAGGTATTTCCCTCTTCTAGGGACTTCTACAGTTTTTTTCTTGGAGGCAAGGATGAGAAAGAGTGATGAGATGGATATGATCAAACTAGATTATATGCATGTGTGGGAAATGGCACAATGAAATCGGTTACTATGTATGATTTGATATATTCTAATTAAAAAGGGAAAGAAATTCACTCAGGAAATTTGCTCATGGAAATATTAGTTCTTACTGTTAGGAAAAAATGAAAGTGATATAACCTCCAAACAGCTTGATGAATAGGGAAAAGAAAGGGAACCATAGAACAAACTAAATCTTAAAAATGAGTGACTGTATTCGTTAAGCAATCATTAGTAAATTCTTGTGCCTTATGTCTTCATTTGCTCAAAGGGACTTGTCAGCATCAACGCCATAAATCTGCCCATTTTGATTTTGTTAGCTATATTCTAATTGGTTTTAGTTTAATACCATGTCTACTGGTAGAATTTATTTTATGTTACTGATTATCTATTTTCTAAAAGTATTTATAAACTTACAATAAAAATATATGGTTAAGATATAATATATTCATAAACTGCTTTGTTAAATGGCAATTTCTTGGTATAGCTACTTAAAGATAATAATAAAGAATTATAGACAAAAACCTTCCATTGTGGAGAAGCTTAATGGAGTAATCAAATAGAAATATGGGACCTGAACTAAGTAGCTCATGACTCTAATCCTAGCTACTCAGATGATGGAAACCTGGAGGATTATGATTTTAAGCCAGCCTTGGCAGAAAAGTCCAGAATATTCCATTTCTAAATAACTAGCAAAATGCTGGATTGGCAGAGTTGTTCAAGTGTTAAAGTGCTAGACATGACATAAGCAAACCAAGTTAGAGCATGAGACCCTGAGTTCAAGCCCTTATCCACCAAAGAAAGGAATAAAGAACCTGAAGTAACAGAGGAAAGCTCATACAATACTGTCAGGAGATTTTTCACTACCTTTTGAGTCATGTTCAAAGAGACTAGAGGACTCTAACATCTTGCTTTGTGATCCAATTTTATATAGCATAACTTTTGAACACGAAGTGTACGGTTTTAATTTACCATTCTATCTGCTATACTCATTCACAAGTAATATATTTAATTCTCTTTTAGTTTAGCTCTCCCAGGTTTCACCCTGGGAGATATTTCTAAAACTTGGCTTATTTTTAACAAAAATAAAAATTAATTCTGGGTAGGCTAGTTTGCATTTAAGAAAACTGAGAACAAATAACAAGTATTGACTTTGAGGGTTTTTTTTGGGGGGGGGGAAATCCATTTGAACTATAATTATTTAATGGAGAAAATAATGTATAGATGGATTTCAAGTAGTCAACTATATTTTCTAACTAACATTTCTTTGTTTTGTATATGCGAAGAAGCACATGTATGTGTGCATTATTTTGATATCTAAAATAAATCTTAAACATGACCATAATTATGTCCTGTTGATCTCCCCCAAAATTAATAGGTGAGTTGGTGATAAACAGGAGGTGGAAACAGCATTATAAAGGCAGTGCCTTGGGGTTTACAAGTCCAGGCAACACCAGTGCATATATATTTTGTAGCAATAGATCTTTGGTTTGTTTGTTTTGTTTCTATGGAGTATGAACATAACTCTGTAGCAGAACCTACTATATGTTGGTGATAGAATTGGGTGAGATTTCATAAACGGGCATGAACTGTCAAGGCTGATTTGCATTTTTGGTGATTTTTATACATTCATTGCTTTATAACCTCTGGTTTTTCAAATAAAGAATAATAAAAGGAACCAGTCATGACATCTGCTATTGTCTACACAAAGGGACTTTTTAAAATTCCTCACAGATGTGGAGCTATTAGGATAAATCACTTCACTCACATTTCTAATTTTAAGAAGCTTTGTGGGTGTTTGTGGATAGTACAGAGCAGACATTGTTTGGCCTATAGACTTTATCATAAACTTTGCATACCACAATCCCAATTCCCCAGATGGCTTTCTAGAGACCAACCATTAAGGCTAGAGAAATTCATAAAAGGAAATCAATGTTCTACCCCTATGAAGTACACAAAATGAGCACACTGAAGCAAGAGAATAGTGACCTTCCAAAAAAGAGAAATAAACCTCCATGGACCTCAGAATAAAAACAAAAAGGATGACACTTGACACAGACTCCTCCTAATTCTAGCCTCAAAGGAGTTTATTATTTCTAAGCAAGCTGCACATTTCTTCTTCAGCCCACATTCTTCTACCCAATGCTTTCTATAAATGAACTCTGACAATAAATCTGACCAGTACTTGAAGTTTCTAGTGAGCTATCTTAGGATGTCTTTAGCTGAAAATATCCAGATGGTTATTTAATATAGTTTTAAAACTATTTGAAGTGTTGGATTATGTTCCCTAGGATTCACACAAAAAAAGTCTCTGCCAAATGTTCTTTGGGCTTTGATATATGCAGCATATGGAATTTCTTGCTATGGGTAACAGGCCAAAAACTCCAGAGAGAGGCAACAATGGGATGATCTAGTTTGGCTACCAAATCTGTGTTTGTTCCTAACTCAGAATTTAGAACTTGTTGCTTAAAACAGACTTTACATTTCTCTGAAATGAAAATATTTTTCATGTTTGGCTCCCTGTTTGTTCTTGTGTGAGAAGTTTAAAAAATATATTTTAGTAACTTCTGGGTTCATACTGATAAAAATGAAAGCATTGATTAAACCTACCAGGTGTGATTGACAAAAACACTATGAAAAAATTAACTATCCTTGGTTATTTTTCCTACATTCTTCTATAGCTTCCCTTTGAAACTTAGTTTGAAGAAGAAGATGGAAACTGTTATTTTAAAATCTTGATAAATAATACCACTAGGGAAAAGTTCATTAGTTCAAAAATGGACGTAAATGGAAATGAATTTTGCTACCACGTTTTCAATAGTAAGATAGATAAATCCTTTAAGTCATAAAAGTTCAGCATTACTAGGCTACCAAGACTCCCAGATCCAAAATGCTACATGATTGGGATCTTTGTTTGCATGTCACCAATGGAAAAATTCCACAGCAATCTTTATAGCATGTGTCACCATCAAACCACAGGTACATCACATGAAATGGCCTATAGGCTGTGCGTATGAGATATAGGTACATAGATATAGGCCTATATATATCTATAGATATATATCTATAGTATCTATAGATATATATGTATAGATATAGTATCTATAGGTATATCTATAGATATATATAGGCCTATATCTCGATATCTATAGATGTACAGATATCTATATATCATATATATGTATATATATATGATATCTATATATAGATATCTATATATCATATATATGTATATATGAAACATAAAGGAATTTTGTGCTTAGAGTTGTTGTTCTCCACAAGGTTTCTCATTATAGCTATACAACCATTACAAGATCTCAAAATATCTGAAACACAAAATGCTTGCAGTCACAGGTATTTTGCATAAGGAAGGCTCAACCTGCTTAACGTGGTCTCCTCTAGCCACAGCTTCCTTTTCAGAGAGAGTGGAAGGCAATACAGGCATGAGAGAAACGGTGCCTTGGTACTTTCTCATGCATTCATTGTGGTGAATGCCTTTCCTGGAATGTCTCTCGGCGGGTCCCTGCATCCCTGGGAAGCTCCTGGCTCTGCTAACCAGAATACTTTGATAGTTAAGAGATGGGGGGGAACACAGTGTTCATTTTTTTTAGCTATCCTAGACAAGATGGAAAATTTAATTCTGCGGTTGCCAAAAGACAGAAGAGTTAAGTTGTTTGTCACAATGTACCAAAGCTCTTAGACATAGACTGGTATTTACCTTCTGCTATTCTTCAGTGGCAATTAATGATGTTAGGAGTATCTTTCCATCATCCGTGTTTCTTATTTCTTTTTCTGCCATCTTTAATTTGAAGTAAAAAATCCTTTTTGAGGCTTTTGGAAGCCATCTCCCTCTGAAATTAAATCCTGTGCTGAAAGGTCATTTTGTAGTTTCAATAGTGTGCTAGTGCTGGTGATGTACAATACAGTTGTCTAATGTCTCATTCTTTCCTTCCTTTCCCAGCTGGTGCTACCTACATCTTTGGGAAGAGTGGTGGCCTCATCTTGTACACCTGGCCGGCCAATGACAGGCCCAGCACACGCTCTGACCGGCTTGCTGTGGGCTTCAGCACCACTGTGAAGGATGGCATCTTAGTCCGCATCGACAGTGCTCCAGGACTCGGTGACTTCCTCCAGCTTCACATAGTAAGTACCTGGCCTTAGCCTGGATTCTCTTGTCTTCCTGGTGTTCTGAGTTGGTGAGTCCAAGAAACATGGTACACAGATCTGGCAAAGATGCACTTGCTTATGAAAACTGCCTTCTATTGTAAGAACTGCCATACATACCTCATACATGTCTCAGTAAAATACATTAGAAATGCCTCCCTGCTCCCTCCCCAGTAATACAGAGAAGGAAAAAGAAATCCTTCTCTTCTATATTCTTAGCTGTGTGGCTTAACATGTCTAGCAGATCACTGTACACAAGGATTTACCTAGTGTGACTCTACTTACCTGATGCAGGTAGCAAATGGACATTCCAACTGGAAGGTAGATGATCTTCTAGTCTGAGGGCTGGCTTATGTGCTGTGAAGGGTCTTGCAGGCCTCTGTTTGTTTTATCATAAACACCACACGGCAAATGTCACTTGAGATGTAAAGAATTGTGATTGAAAACTGAGGTCATAATGCCAAGAGACAGTACAGTGATGAGTTAAGTGACCCATGCATATTGTATATTGATATTTGTCTTTAAGTCTTGTATCCACGAGCCCAATAGGACTGTATTTCAGTCCCTGCAGATCGTAAGAGTATAGTACCAGTAGAAGGAATTAAAATGATCTGGAGGAAAATATGAGTTCGTGATGAGGATAGAAAATATTTTTATAGCAACAATTAACCCATTTTATCACCTGTGCAGTTTGCAGTTAAGAAAGTAGGCTAAAGAAAGATATGATTCTCATTCATAAGTACCCCCCCAAGCATAGTCTCCAAGAGCAAAGAGAGGGATTGTTCTCATTAGTTAGTGATGACACGGCCAGAAAGAATGGATTTAATTTGGAGCTATAAGAATTCAGTTTAAATAGCAGGGAGAAAAAAAAAAGCAGTTCAGAAAAAGGATCACAGGGGATTTTCACTGACTTCCAGAAAGAGGAAAAGGAATACTGACCTGGAATCTTTGAATGGGTTTTGCTAAGCACAAGTCCCGGGAGGGAAGTTGGGGTGACAGGAGCAATATGTAAGATTTCCTTACTGGTTCTTTAGGATTGGAGGTGGCATAGTAGAAAGCCCAGATCCTTCGTATCCCCCTCGAGCAACCAACTTTCCACCCACCACACGGTGGAAATGGGAATCATTCCAATTACAAGGCTTGAGTTAGAAGCACATCTGGTCCTGGTCGGAAACAGAGCAATTCCTTTGTTTAGGAACCTGGAAAGGACGGTTTAGAAATGATCACTTTCAAAGGGAAGAAGAGGGAGTTATGAATTTTTAATTCCTGAAGAATTTTTAATTCCTTCTTACACACTTCAGGAAGCATATGTTGCTATAAGCCTGAGCTTAGACATAGCAAAAAACCATGCCAAGAAGCAAAGAGAAAGGCAGTTATAGTTATGATGGTTTATCTTTATTTGGCCTCTAAGAACCTTCATAATTTACAAAAACTCAGTGAGATTTATGCTGCATAGAATTTAATGACCATTCCATGGCAGCCTCGCTAGGCTATTATTACCTCCTCACTTGCATTCTCACCATGATTTATCTTCGGGTTTTGTTCAGCGTGTCTTACTAAGGAAAATATGATTTGGCACAGCCAAGAGCATCTTTTTAATTCAGACAATGTGCTACTAGTGTGTACCCATCGTTCCCAGTTTGCATTTTGGAGGGAAGATTTATGATTAGGAAAGGGGGTTGGGACCAGGTATCTTAGCTCATGCCTACTTGGGAGGCAAAGAAGAAGAGAATCATGTTTCAAGGCTCGTGTCAGTAAAACGTTAACAAGAATTCATCTCAAGTAATAAGGTAGGCATGTTAATACATGTCTTCAATCTCAGGGACATGGGAGGCAAAAATAAAAATAAAAAACCTAAAGCAAAAAAGGGCTGGGAAATGTCTCAAAAGGACTGGCAAGTTCTACTCCCTGAGTAAAGTCCATTATAGGAAGGAAGGAAGGAAGGAAGGAAGGAAGGAAGAAAGAAAGAAAGAAAGAAAGAAAGAAAGAAAGAAAGAAAGAAAGAAAGGAAGAAAAGAAAGGAAGGAAGGAAGAAAGAAAAGAAAGGAAGGAAGGAAAAAAGGAAAGGAAGGAAGGAAAAAAGGAAGGAAAGGAAAGAAGGAAAAAAGGAAAGAAAAGAAAGTGATTTTTATTGTTTTACAGCTTATTTGAAATTAGAAGTTTTTTAAATTGATATATAGATACTGGGAACTGGTAGACCATCCCAGTAGATTATGTGTTATTGGCATTATGTGCATACAATATTCTATATGAATAAAATAACATAACATATTGCCATCATGAAGTTCTGCCATTTCGTTACTGTGCTTCCCAAAGTGAATGCTTGTAAATATATTTGGGGGTTTCAAGTGATAGGCACTTGCTTGTATCTGTTAGGGTGACCCTTCTATAGATGCATGTGTAAGCTACTTTCTTTACAAAAGCGAGAGAACCAGAAACATTCCATCAAGATCTCTAGAACTTCCTCGGGGTAATATGAACTTAATCCAGTAATGGCACCATTGTGTGAACACTCGGGGAAATCCCAGCAGATTTTTCTACAGAGGATCCTCCAATGTAGAGACTCTTCACAGTTCCAGGTTAAATCTGACAGGCTCACGACCCTCTTAATCCATGGGGCCTCACGTTCTAATCCTTTGAAGCCGTGTTTTACTTGCTAGTGATCTTGTCTCTGGGTCTACAATCCTTACCATAATTGGGAATAAAGGAAATCAATTTCTGCCAGACCATCTTCATGACAAAACCAGCCTCTTATTTTGAGCAGTTAAATAGATCCATCAGGAAAAATAAAACCGTAAATATCAGTTAAGTTCCTGTATAAAACTTTTACAGTGTGTAAGCAGTGGTTTTGTTTATTGACTGGTTTTTGTTTCTTTGTAACAAACAGAATTACTCAGAAAGAAAAGAGATTAGAAGCTATGGGTAAAAGTGAAATGAATTGAGCCAGAGGCAAAAACAAACAATTCATTTCACATTCTAGTTTGACTAGAAAAAGAAAATTCTACAGAGAAAATCAGGAAAGTCACAGCAGCCCCATGTCTTGGTTCATTTTGTAATGTTCTAACAGAATACTTCAGAGGACAACTTTGTTTTTCATAGTTTATGTTGCTGGGAGGTCAAAGATACTGTCAGGTTAGTTTCATCCCTGAGCTTCTGAGACGGGGCCTTAAACAGTTTATTTTAGAGGGGAGAATGCTAAACATCCTCACATATCAGGGAAACAGAAGAGAGCAAGGCGACCCAGATAATCCTTTGTTCTATCTTATCTTCCCAAAGGCCCCTTGTCCCAATGTTACTGCATCAAGTATTAAGTTTCCCATCCATCATTTTGGAGGAGACATATTCATACCAGGGCAGCAGGATACATTTCTTGACAAGGAGAAAGAATAGAGACCCACTCAAATTTGTCCCAACTGGGGTTACATGGGGGTGAAGCTTCATCATTTTGAGGATGGCTGATAATTGTGAAAAATACACAGAGTGGATGTGTGGATGTGTGGATGTGTGTGTGTGTGAAAAAGAGAGAGAGGTGTGTGTGGGGGAGACAGGTAGACTGACAGACAGACAGAGATAGAGATATAGAGTAACTATGATTACAGGTAGAAGCAACCAGCACCTGGCTATGATAATAGTATTTTCTATGTCAGTTGCAATTGGCAATTAAACCATGAATAGAATGCGTTTATCAAAGAGAATACAGTCTTTGTTGGAGTATTGGAGGGAGACAATCTTAGGGCTGTGTGATTAAAGAATTTTTTTAATGTAAGTTTTCCTCCTGTGTAATCTATTATTGAGGAGTTAATCTGTGCAGTATTTGGAGAGAAGCTGCTATTACTCATGCGTGGCATCTGCCTATTGACCCCACATCTAGGCTTGATGGAGCTATGTCATGTTACACTCACCTTCATCTAGGTAAGAGGGAAGAAATTGAATAGGAGCAGAGAAAGGATTACCACCAAGTGTTTGCTATTGCTCTCAGGCAGCTCTTGACAATCTCCTTTCAACACCTATCAAATAGAGGTCGCCGAGAGCTGGGCAACAATTAGCTTCTCTTTATGTAGTTAATGCTGAGTGTAAAAAAGACATCCTGTTAATTTCTTTTTCCCTGGGTGTAATTTACAGTAAATCCTCTTGGATTCATTTTTTAAAAATTTGAGCCTTTCAGGAAAGGTAAAAATTTATGTTGGGATATCTGTTTTGCTTGACAAGAATCTTGAACCTTCTCCACCTACTTCCTTCCCAACTTACCACGTAGAAACTTATATAAACCAGGGTTGAGAAGACAGGGCTGTCCAGACAGGTGGCTTTTAAGAATGGCAAAAAGTTCTCCTTCCAGAAACTAGACAATCCAGGAAAGAGACTGGTTATAGCCTGTCTGGGTCAAATATGAAAAAAAAATGGGGATTTATTAGAATAGTTAGATTTGCATAATACTGAGTTTATTTTAAAGAGATCAGATGTGATAAATGATTGTTACATATATTGCATCTGTAAATTGCTGATCTGGAGGCATCATTTTGGGCAGCTGCCACGTGACTATTTACAGTAGCTCATGAACAGCTATCTGTGGTGGTCTCCAGTAAAGTTAGGTGGCTGTCAATTTAGATTCATCCCTGGATTTGACCATTGACAGAAGTGGATTTGATTCCTGGACTTCATTTAAGGCACTCTCCAGTGGAGTACTGAGGAATGTTGGTGTTTTAGAGTCTGGTAACACAAGTGAAGAGGAAAAGAACAAGGCAACAACAAAGGTGCCCAGCAGATGCAATTTTGTTTCCCACAGAGTGCTGTGCACCGCAGGTTGGCTTTGTATTTCCTTTCATTGCTATTTGTTCTTAGTGAAAAAGCCTCTTTGGGTTTTCTGGGCTTAGGAGCTTTTCCAGATCATTAGCCACTTGTGCAGAGAGGGCCTGCTGGGCATTCTCCCTGCAGCTTCCAGCTTAGCTGTGCCATCCCAGAAGAGTTGGAGAAGGGTGGGA